GGTTCTTCCCTCCTGGGATGGGAGAGGTTCCCAGCTTTATTCCCTGAGAAGATGACTCTTTGTCTCATCAGCAAACTCCTGCCCATCCCTTTCTCTTGGATTTCACTTCCTTATCGGGTTTCCCCTTGAAGAGTCAGCCAGACTCTTACAAGGTAGGGCATCATGTCTCACATCTGATGTAAATCACTTACTTTAATTCTTTTCTGTGAACCTCTTAAGTCTGGTATACATAGGAATTTGTAAAGAAAATCGACACTTATCTGCTAGAAGTGGATGCTTGTGGCAGCAGGTTTCTGTCTAGCTGGGCTGCTCAGAACCTTTAATATGGTAATATTAGTGATGAATTTCCAAGAGATGTATAATATAGATAAAACTTTCAAAATTGGTGTGAACCACCGAAACTTTTTTTCATGGTGACTCTCAAGAAAGGAGCTCTGGTAGTATAGTGGCTAAAGCACTTGACTGCTAACTAGAAGGCTGGCGGTTCAAACCCACCAGCCACTCCTCGGAAGGAAGGTTGGGCAATCCTACTTCCGTGGTGATACTGCCTCGGAAACCCAAGGAGGAGTCGCTGTGAGTTGGGAGCGACTCGACGGCAAATAACAACAACAATGATGATCTGTGTGTTACAGAACAGAACTGCTCCATAGGGTTTTCTTGGCTATCATATTAACAGAAGCAGATCACAAGGCCTTTTCTTCCAAAGTATCCCTGGGTGGGTTCAAACCACTAAGCTTTAGGTTAGCAGTTGAGCACAAACTGTGCCATCAAGGGACTTTGATAACTATCGTTATGCCAAAAAAAGTTTTGCCCTTTTAGAGATAAATATCAAAATGTTGTTGTTGTTGTTGTTTGCCATCAAGTCGGCCCCGACTCATAGCGACCCCTCCTTGGGTTTCCAAGGCGAAATCTCTATGGAAGTAGATTGCCTAGTCTTCCTTCTGAGGAGTGGCTGGTGGGTTTGAACCTCCCAGCCTTCTGGTTAGTAGTCAAATGCCTTAGGCACTGTGCCACAAGAGCTCCTGAATATAAATATACTATCTTGGATTAGCTTCAAAAAAACCAGTTAATGCCATCAAGTTGATTTTGACTCACAGCAACCCCCTTTGAGTTTCCAAGATGGTGGATCTTTACAGAAGTAGATTGTCCAGTCTTCTTTCCATGGAGTGGCTGGTGGATTTGAACTGCCAACCTTCTGGTTAGCAGTCAAATGCCTTAAGCATATCTATCTATCTATCAAAGATTATTAGTGGTTACCAGGAGTAGAAGATATGGGGAAAGGGGAACCTTTTGTGTGTGGATTATTGAGCTTATGCTAATGGTGGTAGAATATTTTAGAAAAGGATAGCAACAATGATGGCACAAGAAAAATGTCATCAATGTCCCTGGGCTGTAAATGTTAAAGTTGTTATGTTGGTAAATGTCTTGTGTATGTTTTCAGCACAATAAAAGTAAATATATATGTATGTATATGTATATGTATATGTGTGTGT